AAGAGTAGATAAGGTTTTTGGTTTCGTGAGTGACATAAGTGAAGCAGAAAAATTACCTTAATTAGCACTGCATCTATAGCCTATTTGGGCCCTTTTTAACTGGTCCATCTTACCTTCCGAAGTTGCGACCGACAATGCGGTGCCAGGTGGGTTCATATTTGCTATCAAACCTCCTTTTGATGGCCTCTGAAATATCCTTTTTGATGACCTGGTCCAGCATTACTTCACTGCCACAATCTACAGCCTCTCTTTGCACTTCTTCTGACATGTCTACATTCTTCACCACTGTCTTTTGGCTTTGGTTTTTGGGGGACCAACTTCCATAATTACCGCTCTGATTGCTAATTTTGCCATCCCTGACACCCTTGACCCCTTCTGGATTCTACTACTGGGGTCTTATATACCCTGCTTGTGCATGATTAAGTCATACCGGACCTCGGTAGCATTGCCTCAAAAACTTGTTTACCTTCTCAAATGTTATTAGGCTTGGCACTACACGGTCGCTTCATCATTCCTGTTAGTGTGGCAGGGTAATTCTTCTCACAACACATCACAGCTAAAAAATATTCCTTTTGAAAACTAGAGCTCTTTATCTAAAAGATCGCTAGTTTGATCTGAATTTGCACTGCTACTATTAAGACCCGGCAATGCCGGCTGTGGCACCTACAAAATGAGGTTTTGCATCTGCCCTAATTTTAGTTTATCACTATAATCTGTCATTGAATTTATGCATTTGGAAGTCAATACTATTACTTGTATTCATGTGAATCCTACTTAATATATTTTTATAGTGTAAAGGAAAAAATGAAGCTTAAAGATAATCATTTTAATGTTCTCCGAGGCGGTACATGATGGGGTATGTTCAGCCCCTAGTAGATGTTCTCTGGTACCTATTGTACCATTAATATATTATTCCTCGTTATCATCACCTCTGCGATCACTTTCGAAGGCTCCTGTTTAGTCAAAGTGTGTATGAAGTTAAATGGGTGTACTATGGGACATGGTTCTCCCCTTTCCACCCCATCATTGCAATGAAAAATTGAAACCCGTCTGTTACGTCTAAGCTGAACGTTTGTTATTTATTTTGTTTTTTCGAAATGTCATAAAATATGAGAGCACTCAACTAAACCATGGAATGTAGGATCAAAAAAGGACCTTAAAATTAAATGGTGCAAGACAAAAGCTGCGGCCTCAGGTGCTCCTATGCCTAAACCTCTCTGTTAACCATTGGTTGATTTCTGACAGTTGGAACTTACACAGGTCGAGGGACCATGACAATTGCCTAACGGCTTCATCCCGCAGTAGCCTGGGCTCAGGAAACCTAACTTGCCAATCCATTGTGGGTAATCTATGAAATTAAGAAACACTTTAGAGTAGATTTGAAAGCTCAATCATGAAATTGAGTTAGCTGTATGCCGAATATGATAGCGCGCACCACCTCAATCCTCAATGCTTAAGTTTTACAACGAAAAGTGTTTGTTCGTCTAAACCTAAAACAAAACATTTTCGTTCTTGGCTTGGCAGACAGCATTCTTTGGATAACAGTGCTGAGGAATACTAGAGTTTCAAATCAAGAACCTTGCTTAACACGGTGGTGATAGACATCAGGTCTACTGGAACCACCGTTGAATTGTACTTAAGTTTTGTCATGAATGGCAATTTATAATGCCAAGGTAAAAAAGAGCAATGAAGTGAATTAGGCATCGTGGCAATCACCACATCCTCTACAATTAAAAAGAAGTCAGAGTTTTTGCATTCATACCACTGCTTCGTTTTAAGTGGTTCTGAAGTTCCCAGCTCCTGGGATTGGACAGGACTTTAAACTTCCTCGGCAAATGTGGATTCTGCAACAGACGCAGAATTACTAGAATTATCCACAAGTTGACTAATATGTGGAATGGTTGTCCATGTCTGAAAGTTAACCTGTGCAGGCATCCAGAGCCTCGAGAACAAAGCCTCTCATTCAAAATTACAACTGTTAAAAAAGGCATGCTGCCTACTTATGATCAGTGCAAAGCTTCTCATTCGACAACCGATGTCATTTGAAGAAATTCAACGCAAAATTAAAGGTTTCACCAAACCTAATTATCAGCTAATATTTTATTTAAATGTTTCTTCTTAAACTCGTTTCGATTTCAGGTGGATGCCAGAAATTTTAATTTCATCACCTTAAAAGATTGAGGGATCACGAAATTTTCAAACTCTTGAAAATATGATTAGCTGGTAGCCCTATTTTCGAATGACAACTTAACGCTTTTTCATTGGTAAATCGTAAAAACTTTGCTTCTCAGCATCTTGGATTTGACACTGTCTATTTCAGTGGCAAGTCTTAAAAATCACCATCACTCAAAAACAGGTGGTAATACAGCTTTAAAAAATGAATGGAATTCACTGCTTCAAATTTTCACGGGTGTCACAAGTTGGCAAAGTATTGATGCTTGACTAATAGGGTATAGTTGGAAATAAGTTTAGTTTTGTGAAATTTTCTGCATTGGTAGATTCTTGGAACAAAGCTAGCTATAAAAGTAGTGGATTAATAGAGTAGAATTTGGCAGAAAAAAGGAACAGCCTTGTATACAAGTTGAAAAATGTGTTATTTGAAGAAATTATAGAATTTACAATCCTTGTTTTACCGGTCATCTAATCACCGTTCTTATCACTAATTATGTAGTGATTTGCAATTCTGTTTAACTACTCGGAGCCTTGAGTCCCCGTCAATTGTACGTTTGCATCACGACGTTGCCTCCGAACAATCCTAGTTGCCTCTTGACCCCTCTCTACCTTTGTAATACATGTGCTTTATAGTACTTTGACTTGTTACGGCTTCAGGAAGGAGTCGGAGCGCTACATCTTTGGCAGCAGCAAACCACTTCGATCCAAAATGATAAAAAAATTCCTGACTTCTGAGGCTGAAAAATATACCTTTATATGACCGAGGAAAGGCATCTACCACGGGTGGGTAAATTTATGAGGACTTCTAATGGAAGGGCCAAAAGTGGCTTTTACCTTTAGCAGTTATCCAAATCCCATGTTCTGTTAGAATGCTATTAACACCTGAAGCGACACCATACTTAACTAATTGGGAAAAGGACTGCGATAGCTACACAAAACTTTCATCCACGTGACCAGGTGATATCTCCTTCACCTCTCTATAGATTGGAAGGGACCCGTAGAGGCTGATTAGATGGATAAATAGATAAAGAGGAATACATCGATGGGTAAAGATCGGATTTGATTACAAAGGTAGATGGATGGCTGGGGACCACTGAAATAAGAACAGCGTAGCAAAGTGAAGAGATGTGATACATTAAATGCTCTTAAAGAAGTACTTTTACGAAAAGCGACTAGCAAAAGATGTCCTTGAAGAAAAAACATGGCCGAGTCTTGAGCAGAGTGGAGCCAGTGCATTTCCCTTCCCCAAAGCAGCTCACTAATAGAATGATACTCCGAATACAGTAGAATTGTCGAGATGCATTGATAATGTTAAAATTAGATGCTTTCACAAATGCAGGAAAGTTGAAGGACTGAAATTGTTGAATCACGGGTGGTTTCCAAACCACTGACTTGTTTGTAATGGCCAAAGAGAGATATTAACAAAAGACCGCCGGAAAAGACATTTAACGGAAGGGAAGGGCTATGTAACAATTAGCTATGCTGTTCAATTACGTGTGCCTTTGAGCCTTCGCAACTTGCACGCTCGCCTTATGGTGTGGCATTCGAGCCATTTCAGCTGACTTCTTACTTCTCTGTACATTAGAAGCGCGTAATCTCCACAATACTTTGACTTGTTACAACTTTCTGAAAGATTCAGAATGCTGCAGAAATCTCTATATGGTGATTTGTTGTGGATTGACCGTGTTTAATTACACCTGAGTATCTGCAGATCGGGTTTTCGCTCAGTAGTTTTACCATCAGGCCATGATAGTAATGTCCTAGCCAATATGTGCATTTCTAATATATAGTTTTTTATAAAACTTTACTTGTTAGGATCCAGAGAATCAAGATGCCACAGTTACAATATTATTCGTTAAATATTTACAGTTTTGCAGTAAGATGGTTGCTTATCTCTCGGTTTTTGTGAGGAGCCATTTTTGACTTAACCACTGTACCACGCCGGGCGGGCTGGTCTTCAACCCATGCCAGTAGCCCTGGTATATTCTGCATGCCGGATATATGTATTCTGCCCGAGTATTATGTAGCGTCCCGAGACTTCCCTGAAGACGAAAAAAATTCTCGGGCAGAATACATATTTTCAGCACAGAGAAGGTATTTGGACCACTGACGTAGCACAAAGGCCAGCCCACCCAGCGTGGTACACGGGAAAAGTCAAAAGAGATAAACAACCACTGTGGTACAATTGTGTCTTCTTTCGTCTTCAAGGAAGTCTCGGGATGTTAGTTTAATAAGTATTTTGAGCAATATAAGCCCCAAACCAATAAGCGAAACAATTATCAATTTTGAATATGGCCCTTGAGATAAATCATTTTTGTGCAAATAATTGATACCGAAGACGATTATCTCAAAGCAATCTTGCGTGAATGTAGCTTGGCAACTTTAAAGGTGCCTAGTATCGAGATACATCTGAAGCTTAAAAAATTATCAAAAGTCAACTTCAGTGCGAAAAATGACATTAACAAACCTTAATAGCACTCATTTATTGAGATATTAATGTATACCAATCCACAAGGCGCCGCCTTTAAAGTGCCCGTTTCTCCGGGTTTCTTGGGCTCGTAGGGTAGCATATGCGAGATGCTATGCATGTTTTATGACTTCATAAATACTAATTGAATTACGTGTGTTTTAGATGGAAAATGTGTATCCACACTTTGCAAGAACCGTTTGCAAAGAGGTACGTGACATTATGGGAAGCAGCATTGACGGCATAAAACTTGTTCTGAATGATGCAGACTTTAGTGTTATACAGGTGGTTTCTTATTCATCTCACTTCTCTTTTAGGCCACAATTGATGGACCGAAAGACACGCCTTTTGAAGGGGGACGTTTTAATATAAAATTGGTTCTTCCTAGCAATTATCCTATCGAACCTCCACGAGGTTACTTTACGACTAAAATTTTCCATCCTAACATAAATTGGCACACTGGAGATATATGTGTCGACACATTAAAGAAGGAATGGAGGCCAGATTTGGGTCTACGACACATTTTGGTGGTATCTGCAGTTATAGATATCTCACTTGTAGACTATCCGCTGCCTGCTAATAGCTCCTAATCCGGAGTCGGCTCTTAATGAGGAGGCGGGGAAATTGTTGTTGGAAGATTATAATGAATACACCAAACAGGCTCGGCTGTTCACTGAGGTTCATGCGCTTGTATCCGATGCTACAAAGAAGAGCAGTGTAGAGGGCGAGGCAGCGTCATCCGCGTATGTTTTTGAATTGATGGTCAGTCTAGATAAATGGTGTTTGATCAAAGTTGTATGCTTGTTTTCAGACTTCGTGATTCTAACGGCCAGTCTAATGCGAAACTGAAGAAGAGCATGAAAGCTCAAAAGAAGGTATCCGTCGCTAGGAAGATGATACGACGCCTATAATGGCAATTCACCTTAAAATTGAATGCACTCATGGAATGGCATTCGCTCTTTGCGCCCGTGATGGTTGTGTACATACATATCGCTGTAAAACTGGTGAGACTTTACAAACCGATGCTGTTGCCTCCGTTGGTTGGTCGTAGGGGTCTTTTGTGCTTTGGACTAGCTGGTAATCCATACGTCTTAGGGGTCCTGGCCTTGGTCGCAGTTTGAGTCGGGCACTCCGCGTATCTTCCTGCCTAGGCCAAGCGGTGCCCTCTGACCCTGCCGTTGTCTACCGGATTCGGTCCGGACCGGGGTCTCGCGTAACGTCCATACTTCTTCATCTGGGTAGGAGGGCTCGAGATTGTGGACGCTGGTGGGGTCACGGGGAGCCTCACTCTGTAGGGTTTGTGGGTGTAGGCATTCTCAGTTATCACCGCCTCAAAATGCTAGGGAGCGTGAGAAACTGAGGAGGCGCGTTACACATTAGCAATAACCGAGAGCGGGGAAGGAGTAGGAATCGAGGTGGATTAAAATGTTCCAAATGTAGGGTCAACAGCATGATTCCAATTACGAATCTATAAGAAAAAACAGAGAAACTGACTTATTTGAGAATCATACTTTTCTTCCACTCACTTGAACAAGTCAATTATGAACACAGGCACCCACAAAGCTGATAGTTAACTTTAGTAGTGTGGGTCCTGATTTTTTCTTTTTTAATGCTGATGTCAAAGTTGGACAAATTTGTTTACTTGGTACACAGAGTCGTCTTTTGTTTCTTTCAATTTGTTTGAATGACTCCATTTGGCTTCGGCGTTTGATTTGCCTATTCCGGAACGGGGGCGGTATTTGCCAAGTTTTATTTACTATCGCGTGAGATCGAGTGAGTCCTGAAAAGTTAGTACACCTTATTGCAGTCCCTATGGGAACCTGTCCCATATTCCTCTGGCCTCTCGTGTTTGCTGATTTACCTGCTGGCAGATATTCAATAAATTAGAGCAGCCCCTGAGCATTTTAGTAACTTAATATTCCCTAAATTATTGTTTCAATAACTTTTTGATTTTGGTAGTCTCTAGTATCATGCTTTTGCATCGCTTCTCAGGGTTGTCTTTTTCTTATTCGTCTTAATGAAGTGTTATTTGGTAATGTCTAGTGAAATAAGGTTCAGAAACTAGAACTTATTTTACTTCTTTTGCATGGAGTGTGTTTCAGATTCTTCTTTAACCAAGTCGAATTTTATTTTAGCGAGTTTTAGAAAATGACGAATCGGAATGCCAATTACAAACTTGTACTTCTGGGTGAATCTGCAGTCGGCAAATCAAGCATCGCTCTTCGCTTCGTTAAGTCACAGTTTCAGGAGTATCAGGAAGCAACCATTGGTGCTGCGTATCTTACTCAATCCATTGTCGTTGGAGATCCTCCAGCAACAATCAAGTTCGAAATTTGGGACACTGCCGGTGGGTTATCTTACGATCCCTTGGACTAAGCTTGACGTTTCAATGAAATTTTGAGACTTTATTTCGCATCTTTCTTTACCTCTGGACAAATTCATCTGAATCTCATGGTGAATGAATCATTTATTGCAATCGTTTTCATTTGCCGTTTATGTACTGGTTGTTTTTTGAGGTTTCGTTCGTTTCCATCGCCAAGTGTGACCATTGTTAAGTCCATTAAGTTTTTTAGATCAGTTACGCATACTTCTTGAGGCAGCCGAAGCGATGGGATGTGTCAGTCGCGTCAAAAATGGTGTTTACTAATTTTAAATTTCAGTGTTTGTTTCATCATGTAGTTTGTGCTAGGATTTCATCATTAACTTATTCAGCCTCCAACATACTATTTGCGCAATCTCTTGCGAGACTAGATCGTTTTGACCTGTTTATGTTTTTGCCTCCACCACACGTGAGCATTCAGAATTGGACTGTATACTTTGTGTGTATTTATTTGCGCCTGCGCGACTGTGGGTTCGTGTCTAGCCGCGAGTTCTGAACCATGCGTATATCTAGTAAAACCGATTGTCAATTTCTACATTTTTTGCCTTCATTTTTTGGAGAATACATATCTACGTTCACTACATTTCTAGGTTCTGCACATCTTGCAATGCAGCTGGCCTAATTATATGCAGACCACCCCACGTCATTAGTAAATTTTGTTAATGCGGTTAATTTTGCCCCGCATTTTTCAATCATATCCCGCTTGAATGTGCCTTTTGAGTCCAGCACTTCGTATCGCTAATCCGTCAATCGTATTTTAATCGACACTTTATATCCCAATGCTAATGTAGGAGTTGTTTAATTTTTATTTACTGTTCCGCTTGCATCTCGGCATTTAACTTTGATTTTTCCAAAGGTCTTGAAATGCAGCTGTCTCAAATATCCTATCACATTACAGATGAGTTTTAAACTCACGTCGACTACACAATCAAGTGACCTTTGACAGCTTGCAGATGCGTAATCTGCTTATCGCTTTAAGCTAGATAGAATTGAAATCCACTTCAAGAGAATGGTGTAGTTCCCGAATCACCTTAGCTGGTTGGTGGTACAATTTGGCATTTGTATTCGCACCTTGAAAGACCGCACTTTGATGCACCGTGAGCTAGTGTATTCATCGCCTCAACTTTCGGTCATTTTAGAGTGGCGGCTTTTGTAGTATTTTCTGCTCGACTTGCTTGTATGAACTCAATTAAACAGAATATGATCGGCGATTGAAACCAGTAACATAGAATCAGAATTCAGCTATTTTATTAGTCGATTTTTTTAATGCTTTCAGTGCATTTCCTCTCAGAAGTTTTTCAAATTTAGAACTAATTTGGATATCTGACAGATCATTTAGTCACCGTCTATGGTAGCCCTGAGTACCAGATACTGATGACAGAACGATTAATCCGAGCATGATGCTCTTCATTAAACTAGTCACCTTCTCTGCTTAAGGTCAGGAGCGTTACCATAGCCTCGCACCCATGTACTATCGTGGAGCCCACGCGGCTGTTGTGGTCTATGACATAACCAACCTACAGAGCTTTGAACGAGCTACCTCCTGGGTCAATGAACTCCGTGAGAGAGCACCCGGTGTCAAGGTCATCGCACTGGCCGGGAACAAATCGGACCGCTATCAAGAACGCGTAGTATCAGAACATGTGAGTCCACCATTTAAGCTTTTGCTCTTTCCGGCATATGAGATTATTTCGTCCATAGGTTCTTCAGCCTCAGAGAGATTTCAGACGAAGTTGAGTTTGTGAGTCACTAATTGCCCATTTTTCTCGTTAGCGAATTTATTGTTTGAAAACGATGAAAATGCGTGAAGCAATCTGAGGTTTTTCGTTGATTCTAGGTGTGTTTGCTGCAGGTCAATCAATCATAGGTTTCTACATGGCTTGAAACAAATCGAAGAATACATTTCAATAATGTGTAACGTTATTGTGAACTGTTTTGAAATTTGTAGCTTTTACCACGGACCTCTGTTTTGTGTAAACTTTGTATTCGGGAACTTAAACTTGAAACGTGACTGGTAAATCCCAAAGAAATTTTAAAGTAGATTCAGGCAGTAGAACTATTTGTTTACGGTAGTCATTGACTTGCTTTCTTACCTGTAGAAATTGGATGTTTCGAGTTAAAAATCGCTCATGCCATTGTCGACTGAAATTTTAAAGTCTGCATCTTTAATGCTGTATTTTCACAGAACTTGGTACTCAGCTGTAAATTTCTTAAACCTTTTGATTGTCTCTGTTCAAGATTTACTAAACCATTAGGAATTTTTTCTTTCTAGGATGCACAAAAATACGCTCAAGAAAACGGTCTTTTATTCAAAGAGACTTCCGCTAAGCTGTCGACAAACGTTATGGAACTGTTCAAGATGATCGGTAGGCTTTCTTTTCCGTGCAGCATTATCAAATGCTCCTTTTTACGGTATGTGTTGTATTAACGCCTTTATCAATGTCTTGCCGTTAGTTGTCGTGGGAAAGACTGAAGCATTCTAGAACTTCGTATCGTTCTCCAGTCTACCAAACTGATAAATCAGCTAATTTGCGTGGTCATGGCTTGTACTTTACCCCCATTTTCTTATTCTCTTAATCAATTGCCCCAATCACTCGGTTGTTTCTTCATGGGTTTGTTGTCACATTGTACTATGGCAGAAGAGTAATTTTCTTTTAAGGGGTGTTGTCAGCATGTCTACAGTACTATTACCCGGTAGCACAACTTGGCCCTTTGACCATACTGATGTTTACATGCGCCAATATGGTCGATGCATACAATCGCGGTCTTTTGAATATGCAGTATTTGCACCCTTGATTGTTATTTATGTTTCACTTGTTGCTAGTATTTTAAGCATTTCTACTGATGAAGCCTTTTATTGGAAACCGACTTTGGATTGCTTTTCTTCAAAATTTGACTTTTGGCATTTTTTATAATTAACTTGGATATTTGCGATACTGCATCTGGAGAATTTGGCTCTCCAAGTTTTTCATTCGTGCTCGAAATAGTTATTTAAAGGTTATAAGTAGGCATATTTCCTCACTTCAGCCGAATCTTTGCCCCTTTCTGAACCGCCACTGACCAACAGCGGCGCAACGCGACTGGGCGCAACCCCGGATCGTCCAGCTGGTGGATCTACGAAGTGCTGCACTTAGACGATATCAAGCAAACCGGTATTCTTGGTTTTTCATTCGTCAACCTGTCCTCTATAGTCGCCAGTTGGTCCGTCTTCTCCCGTGATGCTTTCTTGCTAACGACCCCATTGTACATTATACAATTCACACCCACCTGTCAGTGCGCAAATGGTTTCACCGATGCTGTTCTTCCTCCCTTCCACTCCCTCTATCTGATTGGGTCGTCCTACTTTAAATTTTTTGTTCCTTCTGATCACTTACTCATAATAAACCCACCATTCTCATATGCATCCAACTCGCTCGCTCTCTGGCTCTATATAATGATGCTCACTATAATTACGTCTATTTGTTACTGTTATATCCACACCTGATCGTGATCATTTGTGTTTGCTTCCAGTGTTGCAGCAGCTGCTGATTCACCATTCTTGAATCATTTTAATTAATACTAGCGTTCAATGAATAGTAGCATTCGCTTACTAATATCGTCCGAGTTTTTCAAATCAGATGTCGGAATCGGTCGTGCTACATATCTTGAAGGGATTTTCTGCATGAAATAGGGTCGATAACTTGCACGTTCTCGTACCCTTCGTGTGTTTTTCTTTTTAGCACTCTGTGGAGTGGTTGTTGTCTCTGATGTTGCCTCGTTTAATATGATTGCATGCCATATCTTTGTGGCATCTCTAAGCAAAAACAAAGCTACTCGTAATCAGGCGTTAAGATTGCAACATATTGATGTTCTCTTTGCAGTCATTTTGTGACTGATCTTCTTTAAACTTACTAGTCGTTTTATTTTGACAGGCTAGATTCCATGTGTTCCTGATTGATGCCATTCTACGGCAGCTGAGTGTTGTGGGCATCGATGTCTTTGATGTAATGTCTGCAGGGCGGGCATTAAGCGAAGATCGTTTCTCGTTAAGTTGGCGTTTTAAACGATGTTGTCTTACCTACAGCATTAAGTGTATCCAATTTAGCTTGTCTAATTTCTCCAATCGCGGCTGGTCCGTGATTTCGAATCCATTAAACTCCTCAAAACATCGTCCTTTCCCTGAGGCTTTAGATGGGCAAAGTGAATCTCACATAATTCATCACCTATCACACGCACTTGCAAGCGAAGCGGAATTCCGCGCATAAGGAGAAGAGAAAGATGTAATGAAATGTTGTTCAGGGCACCCAGACCACCGGTAAAGTATATCACCAACGTGGCTGTAAAAGCCTTCCAATGTGTGGGAATTTTTTTGAGGGAGAAGGAACTTTAGGGCTAATCAACGGACAAAAATTCAACAGACTCTAAGTATTTAGTGTGCCTCTCACGATATTGGCGCTTTATCACTTACTTCGTGAAGAAAATTGGGATTTTGAAGTAAGAAGGACTCAAACAGCTGATCTTGAAGGCACTCATGATCGCATTTGTCTTTTGGGCTCGCCTGTTTTTGTTTCATCGGTGTTTTTTCCGTCAATACCTTCTGTAAGTTTCCCTATGAGCAAGAATTGGAGGCCTAATTTCAAGTGCGAAACGCCAAGTTGCTGCCAGTATTGATGATTCCAGAGAGCAGAAATTTATCCGAGCGCTTTAGAAAATCCTTTTTGACCTCATTTGCTGAGCTCCCAAGTGGTAGCGTTTCAGTTTTCACTTTTCAGTCCAGAAGATTGATGAAGAATTTGAAATTTTACGTTACTAGTGTGCTACTATAAAGTGGTCTTCATCTTTAAAATGTCAAGAAGTTTGAAACGAAACAACATTCTTATCCATAAAAGAATCTGTTGTGTTGTTCATGAATATGTTAGTAAATCGAGTAAACAATTCTTTTTTAATCTGAAGATTTTAGGTTTCCCTGACTTTCATCTCTCCGACATCAAAGTAACTAAAAAAGAAAAGACCACTTAGTTTCTAACTCTGGGTATTTTGATGCATCACTTTCATGTCACAGAGAAGCATTGAGGCTTCTGCCAATATCGAGGTCACTTGAATAAGTATAAGGGATTGCCTTGGAAAAGTTCCCAGCCATTTTCATAAAAAGCGTGCCCACATGGTGGCACAAATGGATGTGCTTTTGTGAGACCTAGGTGTGATTTTCTTCACTTGTTTTTAATGATCACACGTACATATATAACATGGTATGGAAATGTGTTGACCAAACACGTTCAAATGCAATTACGAAGTCAGGTAAGATCGCCTGTTGGGTATGTATCCGGGTGTTTGCTTTTTTCATTCTGTTATTATTCGCATTCCTTTTCGCCGCCAAAGCCACGGTGAATTTTCGTTTCATATACAACCTTTCACAAACACCGAAAGCTATCCACCACATTATTAGGAACTTCGTGTACTCGCAAGCTGCCAAAAAGGCGGCGTGATCCCATCTAGTGGTCGCCATGGTCATTAGCCATTCCATTTCGGTGTAAAGACTTTCGCTCCACCTCTCTTCACTCAGAAGCACACAAGAAATGCTGACTGATGTTTTAAGCTGTTTTGATGCTGCATTCCAAGCTTAGTTAAGCCATTTGCTGTCTACGAACTGAAATGGGCATTTAGAATGGTCATTACCAATTTCAATGCTCACTTAATCTTAACCAGCTATGCAATTCTTTCAACCGGCTGACGAATATGTGTTGCTAAATCGTATTCATACTTCATTTCCGAAATCTCAACCCCAAGGGACGTACAAATCAGCCCACGTCTCTTCCTGTATAAATTATAAAGGTAATGCTAATTTCTATCCTTAAGTAATTGCTCTTTGCAAAAAAAATGAAATAAAGAGGTTTGGAACGATAATTGTACAGTTGTTTACTAAAAAAAGCATTTATTCTTTAAATTTTCTTTCATAAAATCATATGTGTCCACAATGTAGCCAATATGAGGAGTTAATTGCTCCATGAGTTAAGCCTAACTCGTATAAGTCATGTGAAGTGGAGTATCACTGGGTAATGAAGTTCCAGCTTCGTGCTAAAACTCAAAAGGTGGAGTGAGCTTACTGTATGCAATGACCTTTAAAAATAAATTTTTGTAAGGAAAGGCTCTCATGTTTACTTTCCTCCTGTCAGGCGCGTTTCATATTGCAAAATCATTAAACTGGTTCAGTGATTCCCCATTATTTGACCCTTTTTGTCATATCCAAATTACTAATGTAAAAAACAAATATTGCTTTTAAAAATTTGTCACTCCCTTCTAATTCAAATACTTTTTGAGACTCATTGCTAGGTTTTTTTATTTATCTGGGAAATGCCAGGAAATAGGTTAACACCTTGTTTCCACCAGTTGAAAAATGTCCTCAAAATAGGTCAAAACGGTTGCGTTTATTTGTACTCAAAATGGATTTATTTGGTCACCACAAATTACTAACAGAGTTCTTGAGAATTGAAGAGATCCGGAATAAAATTGACGCGAGTTTTTCGAATTAATCCTCTTGCTATTTTAAAGTAAATGAGAGAGTAGAAAGGTGAGTGGGATGTCGTCAACTCATACGTATTCGATTGGATGCTACCGTACCCATCATCATAGAAACTCATTTGATGCCTATGGAAATAGGACTTTGCTCTGGTAAAAGCCCCGAGGATCTTTCCATGACAGCAGAAAATGGATCAATGAGTTCAAGGGTGTACTGCGTCTTCCAGCCCTGCCTCTAAGCTCAGGCACAGAGCGTGGAAGTTGTGTGAATCCGGGCTCCAAGCCGGTATGGGTGATAAGGCATGCCCTGGGGAACGTGCGTGCATGTGTTTGGGAGAAGAGGGAAGAGGGGGTGACGGAAGGTGTGCAAGTGCGTGCACGTTTCAAGGAATGTGATTGTTTCCGTGGCAGGAACCAGACAAGTGACTCTTTGATGTGCCGAATTTGATGGCGGTGTGTCCATAAAATCTCCTGCTTTTTTTATAGTCCTCACTCCTCCTCCTCCTCCACATCTGCTGCAACTGCTGGTGTTTCTGCCGCTGCAGTAACGACAAAGTATGCAATTAAACGAATGTTGATGTGAAGTGTGGTGCTTACGCAGGAGACGGATTTAGTCGCCTTTGCTTAGTGCAGGAATCCAAAAAAGTGGACTCGTTTGGGAAATCATTTCCATGACAAAACGAACTGCTAGAAGCTAAGTACTATGTCTCTTGTCAGTCAACCGAGATTTCATTAAAAACTATTTTACTTTTATTCACACCATTCAGGTATCTTGTAAACCAAAACAATTTTGCTGTTTATATTTATTGAAATACTCCCTTAATCCTTTTGAAGAGGAACAAAATTTGTACATTACAAAAGGAACCTAAACTTTTCAGTAGATTTAATTTATGCATCGTCACACAATTGTCATTCGACTAACATACGCATTCTCAATTTAAATTCTAATGATACGGAGTTGATGGAGCAAAAGCACTAAAGAGGATAATGTATCGCATGATTTGCAAGTGGTTTTACGGATTTTGGTTGTCCCAAATGATATTTACTCATTTAGACTGCAATACTCTTTAGCCATAACCCTATTCTCATTAGTCATTAAATAATTTTACGCAAATCTCATTAAAGGCCTTAGAGTATGATGCTTCTTCGAATTGGCTAATTTAGTCCTTTGGTAAGCCAGATTTGCAGGAAGTTAACTTATTTGTAGGTTCAGTTCCTCGCGTCAGCCATCCCAGCCACTTTAATAACATGGAGTATCATTAAAAGCGCATTTTGTAACTATTTACCGAATAGTCCTTTCAGCAGCTCGACTGTGTAAGTGAGCTTTGTGATGTAAGTGTGGGCATTCATCAGCCTAATGACTTCAAGCGAAATTTTTTATTCCCGTAACCCCTAGCACGTCAGCAAGAAGCTATGCAATTTCCAATACAAATGATCCTACGATCCTCATTTCATTTCATTTTTCCATGATAATCCTCTTTTTGGCGAATCTTATTCATTGCTCCACACCTTTCGATTGACAACTTTGAGGGCCACTAATTTATACATGACAATACTACCAGAAATCTTTTAATCAACACACTTTGACGTGTCAGTAGGGATATAAAAATATTATTAGAGGCTCTGGAAAAGGTACGCTCTGGCCGCATTCAGGACCATCAAGTAAATCTTTAGATTATTCTGAAAGCTCATCCTCTAACGCTGCAGAGAGCAATCCCGCCTGATTAAAAACTGCTTCAACCACAGCTTAATACGCAGCTTTGAGGCGAAGAAATTCAAGGGATTCATATTTTTTGTTGACATTAATCTATGTTATTTATTTGTGCGTAAATATCACCCGTCAATTCATTACAGGTGTTATTAATAAGGTACCTGATATTTTTTGACAGGCCCATTCGAAGAAAGGATGAAGGCAGAATATTTTTATAAAGAGTAAGTAGCGCGTTTCAAGTACTTATATGTATTTATACATAGGTGTATATTCGACTGAAAGTTATCGCAATTGACAATGCAGTTGCATGTGTGTGTGTATAGGCGAATGTGCGTTTTCTGTCGTCCTCATACATATATGCACACGGACACACGCACACACCGTCAAATAAAGCGCTTTGGTAAAAAACTGCTGGGCTAAAGAAACAGAGCCACGCTGTTAGTGTATTTTGGAGGGCGGAAGACGGGACGTTTTGTGGCTTCGGGGATGCGAAGAGGGAAATAGGGTGTCAAGTTAACAGTTCAGTCCGCTGAAACGTGCTCTCAGAATACTGATTCTGAAACTCAACTCAAGGAACGGACTTCTGGAAAGAAAGGCACGGCAGTTGACTTTGGAGGTTTCCTAAGACCTCAGTGATTATTAGTGTTCTGGGCTTCAGGAGAAATTGCTGTAGCCGGCGACTGAGATGGCGGTTCTGTGGGGGGTATTGCGTAGCAAGGTGCGATGCTAGAATATTTCATGTATTCTTTCAAACATCGACAAAGGTGTCCAGTGCTTGGAGTGCATCCTAAAACCATCAGGAGTGACCTCAGAGGATCAGGATCCGTTGCAGCTCTTGCAGAGTACCAGGAAGTCAACATCAGTCGAGCCGCGACAGCAGCTGAATCTGCCGAGTTCGAAGTTTTCTCAGAAGCTCCCACCTTCTCGAAATTTTGAAGAGATTCTTCGCTGAAACCTGTGAAGGTAATTGATGGCAAGCTTTGGGTTTTTTCGTAAGGCTTTATATTTGCTTGGTAATTCAGCCTACCCAACAATCCACCGACATGTTTCCATCGATTCTCAACTGCTAGGCCTTGGGACAATTCTGTTAGAAGTGCGTCATGAAGCGTGGGATTTTGTGGGGTGCCTGCAAAAAAGCAAAATCACTAGAAGGACGAACATACAAGTTATATTTAATTCAAATTTTTCCAATTTATCATTTATTTGGAAGTCATTATTTTGATCGTTAGGTTAACTTGATGTGGAATAAGAAATAATACAAGCCAAATATTTTATTAACTAATACCATGGAACGTATTTCACGATAAGTGTGCATTTTTACCGGACCATCCAAATAAGTGACGAAATTTAAAGAACTTGCACACAAACCCTCAGCTCAAATATTTGTTTGAATATTCCCATTCATTAAGGAGGCGGATACGTGTAGCATAAACTCCGATGTTAACAATAAATGACTGTATTCACATGAATACTGCTGTAATCCGCCGAGCAAGTGCTGTCGATCCGTTGTAACCTTTGAGGGAGCGGACATCTTGGAGCTCCTCGATTTGCCTTTACCAGACTTGAGTCCCATAAAGGCGGGATAAAAGACGTCCGCTTCAATAGTTTTGGCATCTTCCGCTGATAATCGCTGCTGCCACAGCTTGTAGAACACATAAATGAGAAGGGTGAGAATCACCAGTCCAAGCAAAGAGCAGTATATCGTGATCATTGGATAGTCATCACCGTAGGCCAGTTGTGAAGCCGCCTGGTCTTCTGCGCACTGCCCTTGGCTTTGCATAGACTTGGGTTCTTTGGGAGAAAGAAAATCAACAAAATATTAACAGTCCAGTCTTAAAATCTTTTCCATCGAATCTTGTAAAATGTTTGCTTATAACGTCACTTGCCATACGGTTTAGCGTACTTCAGCGTACTTCCTCAGTGCATGTACGAAAATGCCCTTAAGCCCAGTGACTAGAGTGGATATTCGCAACTCCCTCACTCATTCGTTCGTCAAGCTATTTGCAAATCGCAAGTACAGAGCAATCGAACATTCGGTTGGTCTCGTGGACTCTCACTACCTCCCTCTTTCACTCATAAACCTACACGCACCCAGGTCGGCTACATCAAAAGCCGTGGGCGAGTTTATGGCAAAGGCTAATAACGCCATAAAATCAACTACTATCAAACACCCCGCTGGTGGCTGGTTGTGATTGCCGCTGTATGTAAACTCCTAGGTTGTGCTCAGTTTGTTCCTACTTCCATTTATTTTCCATCTTCCCCAGTGGTATTGACCAAATAAACCCGTCCAAGTGCTATAGAGTAAGATTCCTGAGTTTGGGGTTTCATGACTCCGAAGTTGGTAGAAGAAACCACAAATGCTAAGTTAGAAAATTGTTGTGCAAATGACCTCAAAAGAGCTCCATGTTTACTATATACTCTGTATGATGGCCAGAGATTCGGTGAAATGGGCCGCATCTACATTATCGGCGAATTCCGATTCGGCCATTGGGTTAAAATGAATAAATCCCACGTAAAATAAAAGGCTGAACAAATTACAAGAGCAGATTTTTTTATCATTAAAAAGAATTGCAGCACCAGCTTTTTTTCCTGGACACTGTGGTTAATTCTCATGGAAGAATGGTTCAGAATTACTTCTAATTTGTCTGCCTGATTAGATGATGCAACTTTAACTGAACTGTGACCCGGGTTAAAACCACTAGTTGATAAGTGCAAGCCCTTTTAAAGCATCGTTAAATGTAATTATCTTCCTCCACCTTGAATGCACGCGAAAACCTCATTTCGAATTGAGTCTTTAACAGGCAATTTTTGATGAAAATTTTATCGGTTCTCTTGAGATTATGTGCACATTATTTCCTCTCCGTTCAAATTCGTAAGCCCATTGACTCCAACGGTGAATAAGATACTTGAATGCGTTGAATGGAAAGTGTGGAGCTCTAGGACTGGCATTAAAGGGGTAGAAGGAAGCGGAGATTCCAACAATAGGCGCTGCTCATCATGCGCCACACCTCGTGTGTGTTCACCTGGCCCCATTCCGCACCACGAAATTTGGGTGCATGTAAAAGCGACGACGGTGGAGATTGAGGGAAAAAGGGAGGACGGTTGGTTGCTCTAGATACACACAGCACGCAGACGACTTCTAGGTGTCTGCGCAACCAGGTCACCCACGCACGATTCGATTTCACAAAGCCCCAGACCTGATGCTTTGTCACGGGGCGGACTGGCACTTCAACCAGTCACCAAGACCAGCACCGCCGATGTCGCAGTCCCTACCGACGTCCTTTTGCGTGAAGACGCATGACTCACCGCCCTCCTCGATTTCGCCTCTTGGTGGGTGAAAGTGCACTTCATAGGTCTGTTCTTCTGGCAAAGGGGACGGCCCACCGAGTTGCGCTAATGTGCTTATTAATCGCCTTTTTCTCCGCTTGCGTCCGGTCTAACATGTCTTTGTTTCGGCCTAGCTTTTTGGAAGTGGACGCACTAAATTGGCTGCAGATGTGAGGCGCTACTTGCGAAAACTCAATGTGGGATTGGACCTGACACATCAACTTAGATACTTCCTTGCACATTTGAACAGCTTCCGGTGTTGATTTTGTCTTTAGGCTTTTTTCAGCATGGTGGTGGCTTCGTTCCAGGCAAAAGGTTGGAAAACTGAAGTCTATTAACAACTGAATCCAGCATCTTTTCAATACAATTATTAGCCAGTCTTGCATCGACAAAGAAACATCAGAATTAGCTTTTGTCAGGGATTTTACGAAGTGAAGTGTTACTTCCACGAATCCGGTGTAGGAGGAATACCAGGTCGTGTGAAAGAGCATTTTCATTCCACGCCACATGGCGTGAAGGTGCCTTTGAACTTGTACATCCTGTCCAGAATCTGGAGAGTGGGATTCCACGACCGGACCACAAATCAAATATTGGAGTGTGATTGTGTAGAAGTGGGCGCCATAACACGAAAGGGGGTTGCGCACATTCACACACGCAGACACACACACATCAATTACAAACCTTCACCGATGGCATATAGTTTTGAACAAAAGCAATCTCACAGAGGCGGCTGTGGGACACTATCCACCCTGTCGGGGTTGTGCACTCGTGAAAAACACCAATGAACTATGCTTACCTGAGAAATTTATGAAACAATTGAATGTTCATTTTATCTACGCAAATGCACTTCCTTAGCTGTGATTATGCCTCTGATATAGCACTAATGAATTAACAGAAAAGTCCCAGTCTTTCACCTCTTAAATGGGACTTGCCTTAAAAAATGCAGGTCGACTGTTTGCAGACCGACTGATGAGAAAAATGAAAGACATGAAGTTTAAAAGAGAGCAGATTTTGATCCCACTGCTTACATAGATATAGGTTTAACCTCATTCACCAGGCCATTTCTTATTTTCAGAAAGACAGCTTTAAAGGTTGGCTGATTTTCCTAGATCTCCATACCGGATTAATGTCTAGAGCTTTGAATACTGTATGTTAGTAAAGGTTATTGAATTTGACTCACAGGGGGAAATGGGATACTTTTTACAACTTTTTTCCCAAAGCGAAATGTATATACCATTTGATAGAAGAAATCTAATACCTTAATTCATGGTAAAACATTTGCAGGCATAATAATATCAGCTCTAAAAACCCAGAGCTGAAACTGATACTATGAGTTAAGAATAAACGGTAGAGCTAAATATCATTTTACAGCGTTAAAACATGTGCGGAATTTCCTAACTTTCCAAAGCTGTTTGGAGCCTACAGAAAGAGCAAAGTCCACAACGCAAAAAAATGAAAATTGTAAATAACTTTAAGCGTAGTTAAATTACTAGGCCTTTGAAGCCTCTAGTGGATGAAGGATGAGGAACTCTGCGAGGTAGATTAAATAACGGACCCGAGAGGTTTATTATCACTGTTGTCACCACCTCTATTACCACTAGAATCTCTAATCCAGATAACTCACCCTCAATGCGAAAAGCCGTCTTGATGTTCATGGAATCTAGAGTTCCATTAAGGTCGTGGGAGATCCCCTTTTCAGAGAAAGAGATCCAATTTGATTCGAGGCCACTTGCAGCCGCCTGGGCGCCTGCACGTATTTGATAAAAACCCAACTGACCCTCCGACTGCTGGCTAAGCGGTGGCATTTTTTACACTATGACACTGGTGCACTGAATTAACACCGCATCACAGCATGCTGTGCGTCTTAAGTCACAGCATCCTTCTACCTCGTCATTGGCCCTCGCAGCAGCCAATCACACTGTAGGACGGGAAAATCCTTTGATGCGCCCTTTGTGGCGGTGGTGGTGTTTGTGCATTTATGGCCGGTGTGGCTAAAACCGCCGCGTGTGAGAACCATAAGTGGTGTAAGGTCAGTTTGGTGGATGGCCTCCTGACCTTTGTTTGAAGTTAAATAGCATACTTTTTAGTTCCGGCTACACATAAAACAGAATTCTGGACAAAATCGATTGCTGCCATAGACAACCCTAAACATGCGCGATTTCACATTATCCAGTGCCAATTCATTACAAACACACATAAATCATTTATTAAGAATTATTTATTTTGGGTAAAGTTACCGCATCTGTCTTTCTTAGGCTAGAGTACTACAAGGTATGCAAATCCCGAGATTTGATTGATGTTTAGTCTTGGATTAAGCAAATCCTAGTAAGCTCGAACTGATGAAGAACTCAAAAATCGTATGCGAGTTTTATTTGAAATCTGTTCACAGTATGTACGTTCTCCCCTTCAATGAGCAGAAATTCAAGGGATGAATAAATACCTTATTATTCGACGAAACTCCATTTAAATTTCCCTGAAGGGGTCATTTTTAAGTATGCTGCCGATTTTGGGCAGCAAAAGTGGCGCAATTGGCGTAAATGTGCACCCAGTCGGCGTGACAGCACTCCCTATTGTCGGTAGGGTTGACGCTAATTGAAAGTAAACTGATGTCATTAGTGCTGACGGTGATGCATCCGACATCTTCGCTTACACATTTGCCAAAAGAAGGTTTTTCTTGCAAATGTTTACTGAAACAGCCCCATGTGTTTGCGCTGACATTTCCTCATCATGTCAAGCCTAATTGTTATGTTTTTTCGTCTAGACAAAGCGCGTGTGTTGGGGTGGAGAAATTTATAGCACCTCTTATGGCAGATTTATCCAACATATAAAGGCACACACTCACATGTATGGGCTTAGCTCCCATTACTTGAGCCAGCTTTAGGTGAAGGAACTCCATACTCCATCTCTGGAACGGATAAGTGATCACTGGAGCAAACGGGAATTGCAACATAATAGGCGAAAAGTGGTGATAGGCTAAGAATGTGGGATTGTGCCTCCAAAACAGGAAAGGGAAAAAGGGACTTGGGTAGGGGAGCCCACTAGCCCAATTTAGATGTCAATTAGTGATAATTGGGCCAAATAGGAGCTGGGTTTGAAGTGAAGGGAAAAAATGGACTCCGAGTGTTGGTATAGGCGCGAACTCTTAGTTAAGACAATTCGTGCGAAGGTATGAACTGGAAACAGGGCGTCCCTAAATCATGCTTCCCTCGACAATTCCGTGGGTGTGTGTGTGTGTCTAATGGGGCAGGAGAGTAGAGGGAGAGAAACACTGATTTATGCTGACTTGGTTTTCAATCAAGCCAGGTTTTCAGACTTGTAGGAATGCGCACAACTGATTTGGACAATTGATCAGCTTGTCTTGCTATTGCATAATAAATATGACTCTGGAACACTGCTAAAAACGAGAGGAGTGTCTACTGTGACACCTACTATTGCTTATATGGAAAATTTTCCTCTATTGTGAAAAAGATTTGAAGAAGATTTATTTTATTCTATCTAACTTCGGCATAAAAATTTGGCATTTATATAGACAGGAAAAAGAACTTCTAAATACGTTCGGAAAGAAACGTAACTGCAAAAAAAAGGTAAACAATGAATCTGGGCACTGATAGTAGATTAAGCATAGATAAGTCGAGGAACTACATTCTCCTTTGAAAATACCAAATAAGCACCGAATATTGTAATCTTTACATTTGATCAAAAATTCAAGCAAGTTAAGCAAAGTTTTGCTTACTTGTTAATTTAGTTGTTAACAGAAAAGAGCATTCTTTCAATTATTTCAAAATTAAATTACATCAAGGCTATTCTAATCTGTGTTCTTTAAAAAATTTGAGCAAACACCAAAAAGAAGTGTTAAAGGTAAGAAGAGATTGGCTTAGTTAGTTTTCTAATTGAGTATATCCGTTAGTGACAGGATAGGAGTTTTGCAATTAAAGCACAATTCATTAAATTGGCAAAAAAATGTGTGCCGGTTACCCTTTCGAAAATGTTGAGTTCAAAAAACACTACCATTTAGCAGCTAGAGTGGGAATTTTGTGCTTCAATCAAAGGGGTAAATACTTCTAGAAATTTTAAAGAAAAATAAAATCACTCAAGCGCAATAGTCGTGAGTTTATGAAGGATCACACGAAACCGCAGTTAGGTGTAATCCCACGTCGTGACTAAGAGAAAAAGCCATGGATATCAAAAGCGGTACATTGTGAAACAAATCGCATTCTGAATACCAATTTGTCGCCCTTTCGGTAAACCCTACGATCTGCTAATGTGTCCACCAAACACACAAAAATAATTAGATCAGGTCAACTATATTTTGGTCAAAACTAAAAAACAGCTGCTGCAAATCTCAAAAAACGCATAGTCGATCTTCTTGAGTTTAAGGGGAACTATAAGAAAATAATTGAATCGGACATCGAAAAAAGCGTTTTGTAGAATCAATCACTAGACAGCAAACGCTTGGCCATCAGCCCAACTACAGTTTTATCAAAATGAATCCTTTATGTGAAGGAAGTCGGTTTTGGAAGACTGGGAGGCAATAGGTGATGTACAGCCCCATTCTAAAGCTTAAGGACCCAGACATACGCAGACACCCAAATAACCGGCACAGTGTGGTGCAGTAGTGGATGCAGCATATTTTGCGGGAGAACGGCATCGGCGGCTGTCGGCAACATCAAAGTGCTTAGTCGGTGCGGTGTGTGCCACAAGTTGTAGTCATGTTTGTAGTTGTGACTTTCTACACACACACACACACACACACACATACAGACACATTTGTAATGTTTCATTGCGCAGCTCAAGAGCCAAAGAACTGGGCCGCTGTGTGCGAATGCAAAGTTGTCTGAGGCCATAATTTTCATGCTAAGTGAACGCCTCTCTATCTGGTGCGGTCTGGTCGCCAAGGTGTTTACGATTTTCTTGGAATAAGAGAGCAAGAGTGAATAGTATTTGTGCTACCCCTTGCATTGTGTAAAATCAAACCACTGTGCATATCTTCGCCAGATGATAGGAAAGTTCATTCTCTCAAGACATTTTCCAAGGGGTCACTGCCACAGCATTATGTAGGCCAAATCATTTTCTGGTAAATCAGCTGAAAATTCGGTCCCATATGCGTGCCTTACCCCTGAACTTTACTAGTACTATATATATATATATATATATATATATATATATA